TATGTATGAATATGAAAAAACACATTTTGTATGTATGTGTATAGAAATGTTAAACATAATCAAAAAAGCTGCAAATTATGCTCTTTTGAAAATGTAATAAAAAATCAGCCTATGCAAGCTGAAAAAGCTACCAATATAGTTGTTTTTGGTGTCAAAAATTCATAAACAGGCACTCAAGAAGAGCATTCAAAGGGTGACACTGAAATAATAAATGATATACTTGTAACAATTTTTTTTTGATAAACTTGTAACAATTTTTTTTTGATAAACTCGTAACAATTTTTTACACTCATTTTATGTAATTATTTTAACTCATATTATAATTGTACTTTATAATAATGTAGTTACTAATAATATATAATTTAGCTTTACTGTTTACTTTAAAATTAAATATTCTATTATTCAAATATAGCTCTTAAGATTGACCCAATAAACTGCAAACCAATTTTCATCGCTTTTTTACTATATAAAATAATGGAAAACATGGTCAAAGAGAAATTTATACATCACTTAATATCTAACAATCTTTAAATGTCGTCATGGATTTTTCATCAAAAAATCCATGACGACATTTAAAGTGATTTAAATCTTCTTCAAACTCTGGTTTTTTGACCTACATAGCTATCTGTTAATGTTCTTTTTCTTTATTTTGCAATTGCTACTTAAAAATGTCGAATTGTATGGGATTTAGGGCCAAGTCCTAAATTTGATTAATGTCTATCTTTTCAACAAAACATGTCCTCTTTGGTAATGTTTAATCACTGTTTATAATCTATATCAATGATCTACAAAGAACACATTAAGAGCAAGGCATTTGCAAAATGTATGAAGATGACACAAAAGTTCTTAGTGTAGTTAACTCTTCAGGCAAAAAAACTTTATCTGCAAATTGCACATTGATAATATTGTCATATGGGCTTAAATATGGCACATGCAACTTTCCATCAAAAAATGTAAACTTATGCACACCAACCAAAACAAGTCTATTCCTTATATCTAATTCATTGATAAAAATGAGGCTGTTAAGAAAAGAATCCAGCTAGAATCAAAATATCGAAAAAAGACCTTAGTTCAACTTTCTGATGATCTGAAGTCAACCATTTAGTGCTGCTGCTAAGGCATATAACATTTTAGGTGTTTTAAAACATACCCTTGTTAGCAGAGAAGTGAAAATTTGAAAAAACCTCTACACAACTTATGTCTATCTCATCTAGAATATGTTCTCCCTTTCTGGTGCCCTCACCTTAAAAAAGACATTAATGCATTTGAATGTGTTCAACATTACATCACAAAAATACCCCACAAAATAAAACACTTTGACTACAAAACAAGTGTATTAAATTTGACCTAACTTCACTTAGTGACAGAATAAAGCACGCTGATCTTATCCAAAAATTCAAATTTGAAAACAAAATGATTCAGTATACCAGTTGATTCAATTAACTGGTATACTGAACCATTATCCACTACTTCTACCTATGCTCATCGCAAACACTTTTGTCCCAAAAATAATATTAACTGCCTGGTTCAATATAACTATTTCAACAACCAGGTTACAAATAATCAAATTCTGCCAGACAAAGTTACCAATGCCTTTAATATATGCAGTTTCAAACATAAACTAGACCAGCAAACTGTATAGTTACCACAGTATATTTTCTGTGACTGGAATTATGCAGCTATTATTAGCCAGCTTGCTAGCTAATGACAAACTTACAGTTCAATTCTGTTTCGTGTAACTTAAATTCAATAATAAACAAATATATATATATATATATATATATATATATATATATATATATATATATATATATATATATATATATATATATATATATATATATATATAATATATATATATATATATATATGTATATATATACACACTTACTAATGCGTATTTTTATTAGCAATTGCTCACTTTTTTTGCTTACCTTAACCCATACGGCTTTTTTAGAAAAAGAAGAAAAAAAACGAAGAATGATGAATGAAACGATTGCTGCCCCATCCCAAACCCTCAGTCGATGTAGCAGCACTCCACTGCGAGTCAGGCTATTTGTCAGTCAATGTATGCACTGAAGCCCCCAGCAGCAGGCTATTTCAGTATGACGTTAGATTGCTTACCTTAGTACCCAATACTATTTGTATATATATATATATATATATATATATATATATATAATATATATATATATATATATATATATATATATATATATATATATATATATATATATATGTATATATATATATATATACAGTAGCGTCCAAAGGTTTGCGGACAGGCAAAAAAAAAAGGAATTTTATTTATATTTCAACATATACTTCACTAAAGCCAACGTATTATATACCAATTAAAAGGTTTTCAAGTTTACAATTAGGTTTTGAACAAATAATGATTATCTAATTAATACTTTTAAATTAGTATACAAATCAATGGTTTTTGATAAGTTTAAAAATTTGTGGACAAAGCATTATTTTTTTAAATAGTATAAATATTTCAACAATATTTGATCAAAATTTATACAAAAGCAAAATCATATTAGTATTTTGTGGGATATCCTTTACAATCAAGAGTAGCTTGGCATCTATGAGGCATAGAGTCAACTAAATTAATGCAAATGTCAATGGGAATTAAGTCCCATATTTCTTTAATTTTATTATCAAATCAGCATAGTTTGTAGGCTTGATTCCTTTCATTTAACGGTCAGCATGTTCCCATAGAAGTTCAATTGAATTTAAGTCAGGTGATTGGGATGGCCATTTCAAAACATTAATTTTACTCTCTTTGAAAAACTCTAAAACTGATTTGGCTGTATGTTTGGGATCGTTATCCTGTTGGTATATCCATCCTTGAGACATTTTATACTTTGCATATGGTAACATAATAGTCTTACATATATATTTGTACTTTTCTTGATTCATAGTCTCGGTAATTCTATGGAGAGGACCAACTATATTTTGGCTAAAACATCCCCAAACTATTACATTACCTCCTCTGTGTTTTATGGTAGGCAGTTATGTTTAGGATTGTACCTTGTACCTTCTGGACATTGAACATACCTGACTCCATCTGATCTGAACAGCATAAACTTGCTTTCGTAACTAAAAAGAATTTTTGACCATTTTTGACCAAAGTATTTGTCTATAAAATCAACAAATTAGCTATTTTGTGGTGAAAATGTTAAAAGCTTTAGTTTGTCCACAAACTTTTGAGCTTATCAAAAATCGTTATTTTGTAAACCAATTTTTAAATGTAATTAAATACTCATTATTTGCTCAAAACATAATTGTTAACCTGGAAACCTTTTAATTGGTATATAATATGTTGGCTTTAGTGAAGTATGTGCTGAAATATAAGTAAAATTCCTTACTTTTTTGCCTGTCCGCAAACTTTTGGACCCTACTGTATATATATATATATATATATATATATATATATATATATATATATATATATATATATATATATATATATATATATATATATATATATATATATATATATATATATATATATATATATATATATATATATATATATATATATATATATATATGTATATATATATATATATATATGTATATATATATATATATATATATAAATATATATATATATATATATATATATATATATATATATATATATATATATACAGTAGGGTATATAAATATATATACATATATATATATATATATATATATATATATATATATATACAGTAGGTTATATATATATATATATATATACATATATATATATATATATATATATATATATATATATATATATATTTATATATATATATATATATATATTTATATGTATATATATATAATATATATATATATATATATATATACATACATAAATATATATATATGTATAAAACGCAAACTTTTGGACCCTACTGTATATATATATATATATATATATATATATATATATATATATATATATACATAAATATATATATATATATATATATACATATATATATATACATATATATATATACATATATATATATATATATATATATATATATATATATATATATATATATATATATATATATATATATATATATATATATATATATATATATATATATACATATATATATTTATATGTATATATATTTATATGTATATATATATATATATATATATATATATATATATATATATATATATATATATATATATATATATATATATAATTTTTTGATGAGCAGTAATGTTTACTTTAATCTATACAGTTTTATCAGGAAAAAAAAGAAAACAAAAAATAATTAACAAAATGATTGCTGACTCAACTCAAACCCTTTGTCAATGTAGTGGCAGCCCTTAACATATTCTCCCTAGATTCTTAGTAAATGTATGTGCAGAAACAATGACAGTTTTCTATTTCAATATAACATCAGATTGCTTAACTAAATGCTCAATACTATTAGTATACACATTTTGTATGTGCATGTAAAAAAAATGTCCTTGTGTAAATTGCACAACTTATGCAAAGCTAGTATTCAGATAAAAATTAGGGTTTTCAACCATTTTGTAACTAACCATCAAAATTAGGATTCCATTTGATTAGATAGGATATTTTTTCCAACGACGAGGATAAACATAAATCTCGCAGCAAAGTTATTTTTAATAGATATGTTTGTTCAAGTTAATAAATACTTAATAAATATTGTGTTGTAAAATAAAATATTTTGTTTTCCAATTTCTAGAAATTAAAAAATTTTTAATTTTAGCCTACCATATTTTTACATTATGTTTTTAGATTAAAAAATAAAGGTAACATATTAATAATAAAGTTGATCAAAACAGGCTAAATCTGTTGCAAACTTTATACAATGTTTTTGCAAACTGTAATACAATACTGTTGCAAACTGTTATGAAACACTATTGCAAACTGTAAAATATTTAGTCATAATTAGTGATATATTCATGTCTGATGATGATTTTTATGCCTTATAATGTTTTTCTAGGAAAATTAATTGAAAGTGTTGCATTTGATTGGCACGAAGACTTTTTAGCATGCGAAAAAACTTACAGTTGGGTGGAAAAGTTACAGAACAGGTTCTAAGAAACTATGTTTGCATATGTATATATATATATATATATATATATATATATATATATATATATATATATATATATATATATATATAATATTAATTATAGGCTTTATATTTAGTCTGAGAACATTATTTATATTTTTTTTAATTATAAGCTTTATATTTAGTCTGAAAGCATTAAAAAATTATTTAAATTAGAAAACTAGATTAAAGTTTCTTAAAAATTAAAATTTATAAGTTTTAGAGTTGAATTTTTTTTTTTTTTTTTACTGAGGAGGAAAGACAACTGTCACTTTTCAGTGACAGAAGTCTTGATAATTGTTGCGACAGTTGTAAGACAAAATTTTATGGTTTTCTTAAAGTTGATATTTTTATCAACAAATTTTTTTAGCTCTATCATTTTGGTTGCTGCACAAGATGAAGCCACTAACGTTGCGTTTAACAAGTGTTTCGCTGCCCTTCAAATTCTTGGTGGAAAACCTCCTTTTCAAAGAGAATATCGGTCCTCTTTTGCAATGATTGGCTTTAAAGGTATACATTCTGAAACAATGATCGAGCAAAAAAAAAACGGTTTTGGCATGGGTTCAACAACGATTACTAAAAACATACAGTTACTAATGAAAAATTAAAATACAAAAGGTTTTTTTTGGTTAAATTTTAATATCACTTTTTTTTGATTTGCCGACTTTTTTTTTTTAATATCACTTTTTTTTGATTTACCGACTTTTTTTTTTTAAATAGATATCACGAATTAATAACGGTGTGGATAAATAAAAGCATCATTATAAGTATAAATAATTTTATTTAAATCGACTATATTTTTATTTTTTTGTTTTTATACATATCAAAACAGTTAAGATAAAAACAAGATAAAATAAATTTTTTGACTGCAAAACAAATTATTTTACCCAGTAGTGATAATACGCTTTGATGTTTTTTTCTTTTTCTATGAAAAACATTTTTAGTTCCTGGAAAAGTTAAGTTAAATATATTAGACTAGAAATTGTAAAACGAATATATCAAACAATTAAATTAGTTCTCTTACTTATAGAAATCAATTATATAAAAGGGAAAAAAATCACGCATTAATTACTCGACACCTAATTTTCTTTTATATCAACAACTACACGTTTTTTCACGTGTTTATGACGTTGATGTTGACATATCAGAAAGGTTTTAAGTTAGAGTTCTACAAAAAAATTATAGAAATAGTCGCGTTTGTAAAGAAAAAAGAATTTAAACTTTTGTGAATTTTTTTGCAAAAGAGGAGAGAATGAGAGTTGTATAATTATATGTACACTTTCAAAGTAGTTGACCCAGTAATGCAGGTTGTAAAATTTCGCTCATCATAAAGTACAACTTTCTATAGAAATCGTAGATAAAATCATATATAAAGATTTGATGAAGCTCTTCTGTGATAGTTTGTTTATTTCCTATAATAACATTTACATTTAATTTCTTTATTTATGTTAATATTGTTTTGTTACTTCTATCAATAAACATAAATATTTTATTGGAAAAAAGCTATTGTCTAGTGAAATACTATTTACTAAAAAAAACAACAGTTTTCAATAAATTTATTGAATGAAAAAATTATTATGTTGTTTGAAAAAATTTGTTAAGTTGTGAAACCCAAATCCTCGATATATGCTTACAGTTGTCCAAAAAGTACGTTCATTTTTTGTAATTAATTATTGGATTTTTTTCAATAAAAATTACTCAAAGATTTTTTTTTTTTTTTTATTAAAATTAGTTAAATTATTTAACTCCTTTTTCTTTATTTGATTAAACTTTTTCTTTCATTCTTTAAATTAATTTCCTTCATTTTTTATTCGCTCTTTTTTTTCTTTTTTTTGTCAAGGAAAATAAAAAAATTAAATCTTCATTTGGGACCATCCATAAAGTACGTGCGCAGGTATGGGGGGAGGCAGGGGTTTCCCAAAAGCGTACGAATGCGTACAAAGGGGCGGGGTGTTAAAGACAGTGAGTAGTACGCGGTTGACTATATCTCATAAACTTGATTTTTTTTTTTTTTTTTTGAAACATTGAATTTCATGTGTGTAACAAATCAGAGTTGATTTTTTTTCTCTGACTTCAGTCACAATCTTTATTTTTAATAATCTCTGTAAACAATGAGGATAGAAAAAAAATACTGCGTACGTACACGGAGGAGGGGGGCCTGCGAAAGCGTGCAGGTTCGCATAAAGAGGGGGAGTCCTAAATCAGTGGTTTTACTGCGTACGTACTTTATGGATGCTCCCTTTGCGATGTCATTGCAAAAAATAAATTTAGCGTTAGGGCAGGGTTAACTCTGAGTACCGTTTTCAATATTAGATGCGGTTGATCATAATACAAAAGATTAAATATAACGATTTATACAATGAAGTCATAACAAAAAAAAGTTATTTGATAAATCGTAAGCAAGTTGTGCATAAAAATAATGGCCATCAAAGTGGTTACTTAAATATAACCTGTGGTGACACCACAGGTTTTTATAAGTAAATTAATTTAACAAACTAAATTGAGAAAAATTCACTATTTTGTATTAATGGATAACAATTTACAATCATATTGTATATTAGTTATCATTAATTTGCGCGCACTTTACAAATTTGTGAAAAATTGTTTTGAATTAATAAAAAATTCAATAAGCATTTTTGATATATCAAATTATTGTATATCTTATTAACTAGAATAAAAGTTATTTGAAAATAAAACTCCCTTAAAATTTAATAAAAATTTAAATAAAAAAAAATTGAAAGAATTGAAAATAAAACTGGCTTATTCATGGCCGACGGCACGGGCTCTGAAGTGGAGATGCACAACCATCTATTTCTAAAAAGGATTCGTCGCGCCCTGGGTGTTTTACAGGGTTCTATTATTAAACTGCTGCTATTGTTAATTTAGGTAAAGACCTGAACAAAGCGTCTAACTTAATAATAACTAAATAACTAATAAGTATGCTTTTAGATATTACCAATCTATTCCAACCCATACTGATATTTACAAATATATATATATATATATATATATATATATATATATATATATATATATATATATATATATATATATATATATATATATATATATATATGTATATATATATATATATATATATATATATATATATATATATATATATATATATATATATATATATATATATATATATATATATATACGTGTATATCGTCCACCGAGTGGAAAAATTAAATGGTTTAAAGAATTCATAAAAAATACAGTCTCAAAAGTAAATATAGAAAAAAAAAATTTGTATATTGCCGGCGACATAAATTTGAACGCTCTGACATATAAAAATAATCCAAAAACAAAATCTTTTTTTGACATGCTTTTTAAATATAATATCTTACCAGTTATAAATAAACCAACTAGGGTAACTAAAATTTTGGCAACTGCAATCGATAATATCTTTATTAACAATTATATAGAAACGTCATTTGAGACAGGTATTTTTAAAACTGATATTAGTGATCACTTCCCAATATACGTTAAAATAAATCCTTTCGAAGCCCCATCCAACGGGGATCCCAAAGGTATAACTCTAAAAAAATGCAACCTATCAGAAGTTAATAAGAATAAACTTTCCGATAAACTAAAGCAAGAGACGTGGAATCAAGTTTTTAATTGTGATTATACAAATAAAGCATTTAATATTTTCTTAAACACATTTCTTGACATTTATAACGAAACGTGCCCTTATGAATTCAAAATAACTAAAAAAAAAACAAAATTGAATCCTTGGATGGATAAAACTCTTATAAAATGTTCAAGAAATAAACAAAAACTTTACAATAAATTTTTAAAAAACAGAACTGAAGTTAATGAAAAAAGTTACAAAAAATATAAACGCTTTTACGAAAATCTTTTCAAGAAAGCTAGAAATTACAAAAATCAAATTCAAATAGAAAGTAAAGAAATTACAAAAATCAAATTCGATGTGAAAAAAACATGGGATTTAATTAACGATATAATTGGAAGAAAGAAAATAAACACGGCTATACTACCTCAAAGAATAAATATCAATAAAACTGATATCTATTGTCCATTACAAATCTCGAATGAGTTAAATAAATATTTTACAAATATTTGCCCTAACCTTGCTAAAAAAATCATAACTACACCAAATTCTTTTCAAAAATATCTTAAATCTTTAAATGGTGCGATGCTGCAAGATCGCGAATTTTCTCATGAAGAGTATGAAATTGCTTTTTCTTTTTTAAAAAAGAATAAATCACCTGGTTTCAATGATGTTTCTAGTAATATAGTTATTTCAAACAAAAAATACATCTCAAAACCTTTGTTCCATATTATAAAACTTTCAATAAAAGAAGGAATTTTTCCTGAAGCATTAAAGTTGGCAAAAGTATGTCCAATTTACAAAAATAATGATCAATCTGAAATCTCTAATTATAGACCTGTATCAGTACTTTCTGTATTTTCAAAAATATTTGAACGTGTAATTTATAATAGAATCTATAACCATTTTAATGAAAATAATTTATTTTATACAAAACAGTTTGGTTTTTGGAAAAAACATTCAACAGAACACACAATAATTGAAATAGTAGACCAAATTACTAAAGGATTTGAAAATAATAGCTTCACTTTAGGATTATTTATTGACCTATCAAAAGCATTTGATACGGTTGATCACCTAATTCTTTTGGAAAAAATAAAACACTACGGAGTGATAAATAAAACCTATGATTGGTTAAAAAGCTACCTCACTGAGAGAAATATTATGTTATTAGTAAGGAATCAGGTCAACTTAATATTTTGTGTAGAGTTCCGCAAGGGTCAATTCTTGGTCCATTGCTTTTCTTGATTTATGTAAATGATTTTAATGATGCATCAGCTAAGCTTAACTCAATAATGTTTGCTGACGACACAAATCTCTTCCTTTCAAACTGTGACATTAATCAACTGTATTCTGACATGAACTCTGAACTAATGAATGTAGATGAATGGTTTAAGGCAAATAAACTTTCACTCAATGTAGATAAAACAAAATATACTTTATTTCATAAAAAATCACAAGATGAAAAACTTCCTTTAAAATTATCTGATTTGATTTTAAATGATGTACTAATTAGTAAAAATGATTCAATAAAATTCTTGGGAATTCTTATTGATGAAAATTTATCATGGCTTCCCCATATTAATTATATTCAATCAAAAATTAGTAAAACAATTGGTCTAATGTACCGTATTTGTCCATATGTAACATCAGAAAGTCTGAAATTAGTATATTTTGGCCTAATACATTGTTTCATATACTATGCCAATATCACATGGGCTAGTACTCAACCAACAAAACTTAAAAAAATATTTTCTTTACAAAAACATGTAGGGGAGAGTATGCACCCATGATCCTAAAAATCTATCAGGCCAACTTACTGAATATATGTTTTTATTTCAATCTCTAAAATAACAGTACATAATAGCAAATTTTATACCTTATTATAATTCAATTATCATTTTTTTACCAGAATATTTTAAGTAGATTTTAAATTATAAAAACTAAGAATGCTCAATTAGGATCATGGGTGCATACCAGTATGCTCCCTTGATCCTATCTATATGCACCCTTGATCCTATGTATGTATACTTGATTCGAGATCAAATGTATACCATGATTGTATAAGAATAATTT